CCAACATAGGGTCTCCACTCCCTAGTTGATATTATTTTAGACATAGGGTCTCTAATCCCTAGTTTGCTTTTACAACATAGGGTCTCCACTCCCTTGTCTTCTTTTCAAACATAGGGTCTCCACTCCCATGTCTTCTTTTCCAACATAGGGTCTCCACTCCCTAGTTGATGTTATTTTAGACATAGGGACTCCACTCCCTAGTTGATTTTACTTCAGACATAGGGTCTCCACTCCCTAGTCTTCATTTCCAACATAGGGTCTCCACTCCTAGTTGACATTATTTCAAATATAGGGTCTCCACTCCCTAATCTCTTTTCCATCATAGGGTCTCCACTCCCTAGTTGATTGTATTTTAGACATAGGCTCTCCACTCCTTAGTTTGCTTTTCCTACATAGGGTCTCCACTATCTAGTTGATGTTATTTTAGACATAGTGTCTCCACTCCCTAGTCTCTTTTCCAACATAGGGTCTCCACTCCCTAGTTTATTTTATTTTAGACATAGGGTCTCAACTCCCTAGTCTTTTTTTCCAACATAGAATCTCTACACCCAAGTCGATGTTACTTCAAACATAGGGTCTCCACTCCTTTGTCTCTTTTCCAACATAGGGTCTCCACTCCCTAGTTGATTTTATTTTAGACATAGGGTCTCCACTCCCTAGTCTTCTTTTTCAAGATAGGGTCTCCACTCCCAAGTTTATTTTATTTTAGACATAAGGTCTCCACTCCCTAGACTTCTTTTCCAACATAGGGTCTCCACTCCCAAGTTAATTTTATTTTAGATATAGGGTCTCTACTCCCTAGTTTTTTTTTCCAACATAGGGTCTCCACCCCCTAATTTTCTTTTCCAACATAGGGTCTCCACTCCCAAGTTAATTTTATTTTAGATATAGGGTCTCTACTCCCTAGTTTTTTTTTCCAACATAGGGTCTCCACCCCCTAATTTTCTTTTCCAACATAGGGTCTCCACTCTCTAGTTGATTTTATTTTAGATATAGGGTCTCCACTCCCTAGTCTTCTTTTTCAAGATAGGGTCTCCACTCCCAAGTTTATTTTATTTTAGACATAAGGTCTCCACTCCCTAGACTTCTTTTCCAACATAGGGTCTCCACTCTCTAGTTGATTTTATTTTAGATATAGGGTCTCCACTCCCTAGTCTTCTTTTTTAACATACGGTCTCCACTCCCTAGTTGATTTTATTTCAGACATAGGGTCTCCATTCTCTAGTCTCTTTACCAACATAGGGTCTCCACTCCCTAGTTGACGTGGCCATGAGCGCGGTCATACCCCCAGGTGCGCGACCGCGCACGTCCGTCTCCGAGAATTCGACTCAGGTCTAATTTTATAATTTTGGGGATAATCTTTTGACCTATATGAAGCCCAGCTCGTCCCAAAATAACGGATCTCGGATTTTGGAGCAACTTTTGGAGAGAAAAGGGCAAGGAAACAACAAAGACTCTAAAGACTTCATCCAATTCATTCAATACAGAAGTTTGTTTGATTTCGGGAATTATAATGTCTTCTTGTTCTTCTAATACTCTTGTAATGAACAACTTCTCCACTATGGAGTAATCTTTCTTAGGGTTATTGACGTATATTGTGATTTGACTTTTGTTTTGGGTTTGCTTTTTGTTAGTTGCCTGAATTAGTTGAATGAGTTGTTAATTGAATTGCAAGGTTAATTATGGTTTTACTTTAATCGAAAGAGAAGTGTTGTTGTAATTCGCATTGTGTTATCTAGTTTGGGTTGATTTTACGCCTCTCATAGGTAATCGAAAGAGCTTGTAGAGTTATCAATTGACCCAATTTGGAAGAATAGTCGAGAGACGTTCTTCGTAAGATCATTCATTCAATGTATTTTTGCATATGTTCTTAGAACTTGTCATTAGGTTGTTTAACAGAACTCTCATTCATTCAAAAGAAGAATTTGAATCCTTAAGATAGCCTAATCATCTATTGAAATCGAAAGAGTCAATAGAAATTAAGAGTGAACTGAGCACGGAGTTATCCAGAATAATAGTTGATCATATATCTTGTCACATCCCTTATTTCTCACCTTGATATTCAATCGTTGCTACTTAGTCACTAAATTTCTATTATTTTCTCACAGCCGATAATCTTTGTTTTTATTCTTAGTTCGGTAATAACTCAAATCAAAGGTTTATTTTCCTGAATAGTGTTAAGCTGAAGATTTATTTGGACATTATTTAAACCAATCCATGTGGAGACGATTTAATACTATACTATCTTTGACTAGCGAGTTTAAGTTTTATACACCGATTTTGCGCTCGTCAAGTGTGTTATTGGAGACTTTGTGGTGAGCTGCTATACTATTTTGATCTTCAGCACATGGAGTCACTGTCATTGTTTATCTCCTATCTATTTTCTTTCTCACAGACAGTTGTGATTGTGTATTCAAACTTGTACTTATTCAGTAGTTGCTCGTATACTTGTGTCACATAGTTTTTGGGAGTTGTACTAATTTGGTCGTGTTTAGACCATGTTATATTTGTATAAGATATTTTACTGCTTTGAGGTTGTTCCTGCTTTTATTATGATATAACTCTGTTAATTAAAAGAAATTGGACTTTATTCTGTTGATTGTGAGTTGGCTTGCTTAGCAAGTATAGTTAGACGTTATCACGACGTAAAGTGAGATTTTGGATCGTGAAAATGACTCGACATACACGTGTTGAGGAACCAATACATTTAAAACCATGTGTTGCTTTTCTTTTTTTCTTTTTTGACAAAACTCTCTGGAGGGTTGTTTTGTACTAGTATAACGAAAGTTTACCTAAGCTTTTGGATTAGTAGACTTAGGATATACTAATTTTACCCTTATATATAATAATACATTCAAATTTGAATTGATTGGTGTCTGTTCTAGATTAATCCTTAGGGTCTCACGGGTTTTTACCTTAAACTTGGTGTTTCTACAATTGAATTCCTGATACCTTTTATATGACGCCTATTTTCCCCCTCCTATTTAGATGTGGGATTTGCCTAAAGCAAGTTTCACAACAAACCCACTTTCAAGTTCAACTACCAGTGATATTACACTCATCCCCCTTAAAGACTCAACTAGGGGTAGGCATAATACCGCCCGAACCGTGAATTTCGGTTTAATCGGTTATTCGGTGGGTTTGCGATTTTAAAATTATTAAATTTTGGTATTCGGTGCGATTTACGATTTTAGTATTTCGGTTTTCGGTTAAATCGAAAAATCAAAATTTTGGGTATGAGTTGAGAAAAATAGGTTTGAACATATGGGTTCTTGAGAGTCCAAAACTTACGTTACCCATCTGAAGCCCAATACCCATCTGAAGCCCACCCAATTTACCCAAACCCATATGTACCTAAGCATATTAGCCTAAAGACTAAGACTTACGTTACTTCCCACTTTCCAGTCTTCCCTAACCCTAATTCCCTTCCTTAGAAATTAGAAATTAGGGTTTCTCCTCTGTGCGACTGCTGCAATGCTGCCGAGTACCGACGCCTGACTGCTGTGAGCCTGTGACGCCTTCTTCCTCAGCTCGTCGCTCATCATTCTTCCTCAGGTTAGTGGTTATCTCCTTCTTCTGAGTTCCTTTTCAGTTTTCCCTCGCCGCTCATTCGATTTTGGTGTAGATCTTGTATCTTTTGGTGTACCACTTTTATACAGGAGTTGAGTTCCCTCCCCATCATCAATTAAATTATTTTACCTTATTAAAAAAATATTTGTTATAGGAATTCCGACCTTAACTTTGCGTGTATTTTTTTATCTTTTCTACGTTGATACATATAAGTCCCTATGTGGCACAAACAGGGCACAGCTAGAACATTTTGACTTAAAATTGTTTACTAGTTTGCATTTTTAATTCTATTTTCATTTGATTTTCTATAGATGGCAGAAGTTGAAAGTAGAGTAAGTGAGGTAGCCGCATTTCAAGTGTTGCATCGTGATGGCTAGCTCGTGATGTATTATACATTCCAATTTCAAGTGTTGCATCGGAATGTGAATTTAGCACCGGTGGCCGCATTCTTGATTCATTTAGGAGTTCATTGACTCATCGGTTGGTGCAAAGTCTTGTTTGTATTCAAGATTGGTTTAGATGTGAGGGTACTCCTATTAATGTTGAAGAAGATTTGGAGTCTCTTGAGCAAATTGAACTTGGTAAGATTTTGTGTTTTATGAGTGTTTTAGTGAAAATTAGTTTACTTTGTAAGTTTAAATGACACA